CAGTGACACCAGTGGCACCAGTGACACCAGTGACAACAGTGACACCAGTGACAACAGTGACAACAGTGACAGCAGTGACACCAGTGACACCAGTGACAACAGTGACAACAGTGACAGCAGTGACACCAGTGACAGCAGTGACACCACTGACACCAGTGACAACAGTGACAACAGTGACAACAGTGACAGCAGTGACACCAGTGACACCAGTGACACCAGTGACAACAGTGACACCAGTGACAACAGTGACACCAGTGGCACCAGTGACACCAGTGACAACAGTGACACCAGTGACACCAGTGACAACAGTGACACCAGTGACAACAGTGACAGCAGTGACACCAGTGACAACAGTGACACCAGTGACACCAGTGACACCAGTGACAACAGTGACAACAGTGACAGCAGTGACAGCAGTGACACCAGTGACAACAGTGACACCAGTGACAACAGTGACAGCAGTGACACCAGTGACACCAGTGACAACAGTGACACCAGTGACAACAGTGACAACAGTGACAGCAGTGACAACAGTGGCACCAGTGGCACCAGTGACACCAGTGACACCAGGGACACCAGGGACAACAGTGACACCAGTGGCACCAGTGACAGCAGGGACACCAGTGACACCAGTGACACCAGTGACACCAGTGACACCAGTGACACCAGTGACACCAGGGACACCAGTGACAACAGTGACACCAGTGGCACCAGTGGCACCAGTGACACCAGTGACACCAGTGACACCAGGGACACCAGTGACACCAGTGACACCAGTGACACCAGTGACACCAGTGACACCAGTGGCACCAGTGACAGCAGTGACACCAGTGACAGCAGTGACACCAGTGACACCAGTGACACCAGTGACACCAGTGGCACCAGGGACAACAGTGACAACAGTGACAGCAGGGACACCAGTGACACCAGTGGCACCAGTGGCACCAGTGACAACAGTGACACCAGTGGCACCAGGGACACCAGTGACAACAGTGACAACAGTGACAACAGTGACAACAGTGACACCAGTGACACCAGTGACAGCACCGAGACCAGTGACACCAGTGACACCAGTGACACCAGTGACACCAGCAACAGCAGCGACAGCAGCGACACCAGTGGCACCAGTGGCACCAGCGACAGCAGGGACAGCAGGGACACTAAGGACACCAGCAGCACTAGCAGCAGCAGTGAGACCAGCAAAACCAGTGAGACCAGTGACAGCAGTGACACCTGTGACAGCAGCAACACCAACGACACCAGTGACACCAGTGGCATCAGGGACAGCAGTGACACCAGTGACACCAAGGACACCAGCAGCACTAGCAGCAGCAGTGAGACCAGCAAAACCAGTGAGACCAGCGAGACCAGCGACACCAGTAACAGCAGCGACACCAGTGGCACCAGGGACAGCAGGGACACCAGCAACACCAGTAACACCAGCGACACCAGGGACAGCAGTGACAGCATTGGCATCAGTGACACCAGTGACACCAAGGACACCAGCAGCGCTAGCAGCAGCAGTGAGACCAGCAAAACCAGTGAGACCAGCGACACCAGTGACAGCAGCGACACCAGTGACACCAACGACACCAGTGACACCAGTGATACCAGTGACAGCAGGAACAGCAGCGACACCAGTGACACCAGTGATAGCAGTGATAGCAGGGACACACCAGGGGCACCAGTAACACCAGTGGCACCAGTGACACCAGTGACACTAGCAGCACCAGTGAGACAAGCAAAACCAGTGAGACCAGTGAGACCAGTGTCTCAAGACCAGTGACGTCAGTCAGACCAGTAGCTGTTCACCCCCTGCAGACCAGACTGGTATGAATCACCAGTACCAGTACGCACATGTGGAAACAGTCACATCAGAGCACTCCGGGGTGTACCAGTCACACCAGTAACAGCACCAGCCTCCAGCACTGACCCGTGTCCCAGCATGTGCACCAGTAACACCAGTGAGACCAGTGAGACCGGTAGTACCAGCATCGCTAGCGACACCAGTGAAACCAAGAGCCCAGGGAGGTGGCAGCGTGGGCACAGGCCCTGGGCAGGGGGATCACAGTGGCCACAATGGGCTGGTGGCCACAATGGGCTGGCGGCTGCAGCAGATGTGTCCCTCTGCGGGGGGCCATGGGAGCTGTGGCTGTACTGGGGTGTCCCCGTCCCGTCCCCCTCTCTGTGGCCCCATTCCAGTAGCGGATGTTTTCCATCCCTCAGGAATTGGGGTTTGGCGCCGTTGTGACCAAATAAGGGAATGGCCGAGCACGGTCCTGCGGGAGCTGGAGCCTGACCGGGATGGGATGGGAATGGAATGGGGATGGGGATAGGATGGGAATGGGATGGGACAGAGATATGAATGTGAATGGGGATAGGGTGGGGATAGAATGGGATGCAATGGAGATGGGATGGGATAGGATAGGATAGGATGGAAATGGGATGGGGATGGGATAGGTTAGGAAGGGATGGGGATGGGATAGGTTAGGATGGGATGGAGATGGGATAGAATAGGGTAGGATGGGGATGGGATGTGACCTCCCTGCAGTCAGTCTGAGCATCCCACACCCCGGGCCTACCCATGTGGCCACCCCAGGCTGGGCTCGCTCCCTGCCTGCAGCCCCACGTGCTGCTCTGGGGCCAGCACAGCACCCACATCCCGGGGTGGGACCCTGTGTCCAGCACCCTCGTCCCAGCACGGGTCCCTGCACCGCGCGCACATCCCAGCGCTGGATCCTGGCTCAACACCCGCATCCCAGCGTGGGATCCTGGGCTCTCATCCCAGCGCAGGACCCCGTGTCCAGCACCCACGGCCGGGTCTGGGACCCTGCACAGCGCCCTCGTCCCAGCGCGGGACCCTCACGCTGGTGCCGGCCCCCGCCCCGCGCCCGCCGCTCCCGGTGCCGCCCCCGCGCCCCGCCCGGTCCCTCCCGCGGGCGGCGGGGGCGGGTTCGGGCGGGAGCGGCGGCTCCGGGAGCGGCGGGACGCGGGATGGCGGCCCCGGGGCTGGAGCGGCACCGGCTGGCGCTGCTGGCGGCACGGGAGGACGTGGGGAACCCCCGCGCCGGCACCGACTGGTGAGCGCCGGCACCGGGCCGGGAGCGGGCACCGGGAATGGGCGCGGGGCAGCGGAGGCGGACACGGAGCATTGGGAATGGGCACCGGGAGAGCGGAACGGGCACCGGAAACCGGGAATGGGAGCGGGCACCGGGGGCGGGCACTGGGATCGGACAACGGCAGCGGGAGCGGGCACCGGCACCCGGCGTGGGCACCAGGAGCAGGCACCGGGAGCAGTCACCGGGACGGGCGGCGGATGGGGACGTCCCGAGGCACAACGAGCGCCGGCACCGGGCCGGGGTCCGGCTCGCACCAGGGTCCCGGCGGGGCCACGGGGCCGGGGCTGAGCTTCCCCAGTTCACGCCACGCTGGGAACCCGCGCCCGGTCCCGCCCTGTTCCGCCCGGTCCCGCCGCCGCCGCCGCCCGGGGCACGGCCCGGCACGGGGGGGGGGCCAGGGCTGGTCCGTCCGTCCCGTCCCCCCCCCGCACCCGGTGTCCCCCCCGACAGCACCGCGCGGCGGGCGCCGGGACCGGGTGAACCGGCAGCGCCGGAGCTCCCGCCGAGGGGACGCGTGCGGCCGGCGGGGCCCGCCATGGCCTGACGTGTCCCGGCGTGTTCGGCCCGGTCCTGCCCGCCCTGCCCTGCCGTGTTCAGCCCTGCCGTGCCTTGCCCCGTGCCGTTGTGTGCCCTGCTCTGCCGTGCCGGGGCACATCCTCATGTGCCGTGCCGTGTCCTGCCCTGCCGTGTCCTGCCCTGCACCGTCATTCTATGTCCTGCCCTGCCCTTTCATGCCGTGCCACGCCGTGCCATGTTCCACTCTGCCACGCCATGCCCTGCCGTGTCCCATGCCCTGCTGTGTCCCATGCCCTGCTGTGTCCCCTGCCATTCCATGTCCCTGCCCTGCCGTGTCCCATGTCATTCCATGTTCATGCCCTGCCGTGTCCCATGTCATTCCATGTTCATGCCCTGCCGTGTCCCCTGTCATTCCATGTCCGTGCCCTGCCGTGTCCCATGTCATTCCATGTCCCCACCCTGCTGTGTCCCATGTCCATGCCCTGCCGTGTCCCCTGTCATTCCATGTCCATGCCCTGCCATGTCCCATGCCCTGCCGTGTCCCATGTCATTCCATGACCATGCCCTGCCATGTCCCATGCCCTGCCGTGTCCCATGTCATTCCATGTCCATGCCCTGCCGTGTCCCATGTCATTCCATGTCTGTGCCCTGCTGTGTCCCATGTCCATGCCCTGCCGTGTCCCCTGTCATTCCATGTCCATGCCCTGCCATGTCCCATGCCCTGCCATGCCCCCTGTCATTCCATGTCCCACCATGCCCCGTGCCGTTCCATGCCTTGCCGTGCCGCACACACGCTGCCGGTGCCGTGTCCCACCGCGGGCCACCCCATGCCCGTGTAAGGGGGCCATGAGGAGACGAAGCAGGGGCAGGACGATGCCCCCAGCACGGCCCGGGGGCTCCGTGGGGGTCGAGCCGCTGCTTCCCGCGGCCCCATTGTCCCGGGGCGGATGCTGCCGGCGGCACTTCCATGAATTCAGCCTGGCAGAGGCACGGGGGGGGGGGGGCCCTGGAGGACACGGCGGGGGGGAACAAGGGGGCGACACGGGACTGGCCTGGACCCGTCCCCAGGGTGCCCCCCCCGACCCTCTCCAACCCCCCAGGGCCGTCTTTGGCTACGAGAAGCACCATGACCTGAAGCTGCTGGACTCCGGAGGTAACGGGGAGCCCCGGGGTGCAGGGAGGTGCGGGGGGGCCCCCTCCGTGCCCCCCCCCCCCCGTCCCTGACCCCCTCCCGCCGCAGCCGGGGGTCCGGATGAACTGGCCGGGAGGTTCTCGGCCGGCAGCATCATGTACGGGCTGTGCCGCGTCCCGGAGCCCGGTACCGGCGCCCCCCGCGTCGTGCTCATCAGCTGGGTGAGTGCGGGCCTGGGGGGGGCTCTGAGCGCCCCCCACCTCCGCTACCGGGCACCGGGGACGGGGACGTGGCCCCGGCGCCACCCTCAGCGCCCCGTCCCCGGTGCCAGGTCGGGGAGAAGGTGCCGGAAGCCCAACGGGAAGCGTGTGCCGGGCATCTGCCGGTCCTCAGGGGCTTCTTCCGGGTGAGCGGGGGGGGGGCCCGGCCCCCACGGCTGATCCTGACACCCCCCATAGGCCCTGAGCCCTCCCGTATGATCCTGACCCCCCCATGGATCCTGACAGCCCCCTCTCATGTGTCCTGACCCCCACCACATGATCCTGATCCCCCCCCATGGATCCTGATCCCCCCCATTGATCCTGAGAGCCCCCTCTCATGTGTCCTGACCCCCACCACATGATCCTGATCCCCCCCTCCATGGATCCTGACAGCCCCCTCTCATGTGTCCTGACCCCCACCACATGGTCCTGATCCCCCCCCATGGATCCTGATCCCCCCCATGGGTCCCGAACACCACCCCCCGTCCCAGATCCTGCCCCTCCTCTCCCCGTGGATCCTGACCCTGCCATGGATTCTGACAGCCCCATATGGATCCTGCCCCCCACCACAGGTCCTGAGCCCCCCTGTGGATCCTGGCATCCCCCCATGGATCCTGACATCCCCCTCCCATGGGTCCTGACCTCCCCCATGGATGGATCCTGCCCCCATGTCCCAGCCCCCGAGCCCCTCCTGGGTGCTGGGTCTGCATCCGGCCCCGCATCTGGATCCGGCCCCACATCTGGATCCGGCCCCACATCTGGAGCACTCCAGGGAATGGCGCCAGAACCCGGGGGGGGGGGGGGGGGGAAGGGGGGCGGGGGGGGCCGCGGGTGCTCACGGGGGTGACTCGGTCCCGTCCCGGTGCCAGGAGGCCAGCGCGGTGCTGAGCGCCCGCCGCCCCGAGGAGGTGACGCGGGAGGGGCTGAGCCGGGCGCTGGCACAAGTGGAGCCCCCCGGGGCCCCCGTCACCAGGAGGGTGCCCCCCCCCGACACCCAGGAGCTGGTGGTGAGGGGGGACCCTGGGGAGGATGGGGAGGGAGGGGGGCTGTGCCCATAGGGTGCCATTTGGGAGCAATTCCGGGGGGGGTCCACAATGGAAGGGCCCTGGGTTGGGGGTCCTGGCGGTTGAGGCCCTGGTGGGGCTCATGGGGGGGTGCCTGGGTGAGGGGTCCCTTGGGGGTGTCCCCGGGTTGGGGTCCTTCGGGGGGGGGGTCCTGTGTGCGGGTCCTGAGGGTGCTGTGCCCATGGGGTGCCATTGGGGTGCCCCTGGGTTTGTGGGCCTGGGGGGTCCCTGAGCCCCGTCCCGGTCCCCGCAGGGCACCAACTACCGCAAAACCAACCCCGCGCTGGAGCTGCGCCGGACGCAGCGGGATTCCTTCTGGGCACAGGCGGAGGTGAGGGGGGGGCACGGGAGGGGGGATCCCAGCACCCCCCGGCATCCCCGGACCGGGGGTCCCGGCTCTGACGCGGGGGTCCCGGCGCAGCGGGAGGAGCAGCAGCGCCGGGACGAGGAGCGGCGCCGGGCGCTGGAGGAGCAGCAGCGCTGGGAGCGGCTCCGGCGGCTCCAGGAGCGCCGGGAAGCGGCGGAGCGGGAGCGGCGCTGCCAGGACAAGGAACGGGAGATCCAGGAGCAGCGGTGAGGGGCGGGGGGGGGTCCCATGGCGGCACCCGCAGCTCCCAGCGCCCCAGAACTGCCCCGGCCCCGCGTGCCCCCTCCCGTGTGGGTCTGTGATGTGCTCATGTCCCCGAGCCCCCCATGTACCCACAGCCCCCACAGCCCCTCATGTCCCCATGTACCCACATCCCCCACAGCCCCTCATGCCCCCCGTGTCCTCATGTCCCCATGTACCCACATCCCCCATGTCCCTCATGTCCCCATGTA